GTGGGGCAATTACCACGAGACGAAAAAACTATACGTAAATATTTAAATATGTTACTAAAGAGTCTACATTTTGTTGTGATAAGAATTAGTCATTTATGTAACTAATTTATTAATATAGTATTTTCTAAATTAATGGGTGATGTTTGCAAAGCATATATAGCGGGGATCTAGACTTATCCGATACATTATATGGCAGACTTTTATGTGAAGCAATTGTATGACAGTACATCTTTTATTATTGGTTCAAGATCCAACATCAAGAGTTGAATTTATTGGTGAATAACTAAGAATATAGTCAACATCAATATTATAGCACAATATCAAAGAGATAAAAGGATCAATATTATAGCACAATATCAAAGAGATTGTTCAGAAATTCCTTTAAAACATAAAAGCTTGGATATTACAAATTATTAAGTATTATTAAAGAATTAACTCAACCCAATAATTTAAATTATGAGATTTTATTTTATTTTTTAATATATATTTTCAAATAAAAATTCTCTGGATTTACAATTTATACAGATATATACTATTTTGTATTTAAAATTAGAATAAAAAAATAAGATTAAAATGTGTAATTATTTGATAATATATATCGAGACAAACACTCTAGGCTTTAATGCATGGTGATGGCATGGGATATAGAGTGAGAAACATGTTTGCTGTTCAATGAAGACAACCATGATAAGAGTCGTTAATAGGTCAGCACTCACCATTAATTTGAGACAGGTTTTTGTTGGACTATCATGCAGTCTGTTCCAAATTGTTCTTCAGTTACCTAATCTTAGTTGGGGAGTCATGGCCTTGGGCCAGCAAGATTTATTTATTTATTTTATTTTTATTTTTTTTTATTTATGTGGGGTGTCCCAACCAGCTTACGCCAGCAAGATTTATTATTACAGGTAGTGGTTACTGTATGGCAAACATGAGTTCTGCAACAAAATAAATAAAAAAGAAAAACTTCTGCCGTACACTAGATCCTGGCTAAGTTAGAGAAAAGAAAAAAAAAGCCCGATCCATGAACCGGAAGACATCATGATAGTTAAGCTTAGCCCAGTCCATATTCCCAGGTTATATATATAAAGTCAGTTGCTAGAAAGAAGAACAATAATGCTAATTCTACCATAAATAATTTAAGAGCATTCTTATTCCATTGAATTTGTTGGATCCATCTATTAGATTCATTGGTAGGGTTGTACTTGCAAAGGGGGGATGTGCCCGTTGAAGCATGGAAAACAGAGGAACTATATGGACGACATGCCTGACTCCAGGGGCAAAATATGGCTTTTGATGCAATAAATAATTGCTCGGACTGCATGCTATAGCATTCAAAGGTACAATTATGGTGTCCCCCAACCTTGCCCCTTTCTTCCCCTTCAAAGGTTGTACGCACGTCACCATTTTTTCCCCCGAGTTATCCATGACCTCGAGAAGATTCCTCATCTGTATGAAAGTCCCTTGCTGCTGTAAGAGCGCAGCAGGACATTCAGGCCATGATCAGAAGTGAGGAATAACAGAGATGACATTAGTTAATCCTATCAATTACTGATAAAGTGAAGAAATGGTTAAGATAAAGTACATCCCTCTGCAACCAAGAAACAACCCCCCCCCTCTCTTTTTGAGTTTTTTCCAAGAAAACAAAGGTAAATTTCTCGAACCCAAGGGAGGAAAACATGGCTTTTTCAAGAGAATATGTCTCCCAGCCATTCACATAGAAAATAGCAGACTTCAGTGTGAAGATGCGGCGGCTTCCGTCCCAAATTTAAGCTGTGCTGCAAAAGACATTGCAGTTTGAAACAATTTTTTAATGTACAGGGGACATATTCGCTGTCACACTTGTACCTTTAGTAAGTATAAAGAAGTAAATGCCAGGGAATAAAATACGCCTGGAATATCTTGCAGTAGCAAATACAAGATACAATGTCTCATTTGAAAACTTCTCAAGGCCACAGCTCATCAGAAGTTATTGACACAGAGAAATCAACTCTAAGAAGTGCTGTTGCATTTCAATGAACTGGCAGTGAAACTCAAGCTGCAGCCAGTAAAATAGGTTACAATGATAATAGCGATTTAATGGAGCAGAGTTGGCCCCAGAGAAATAGCTATCCCTGGGGATCTCATAGTGGGTGAAAGTTACAACCGCTTTGGTTTAGAACCCCAATAGCTCAGCCATACTGGAACACCTTTTCAGTTTATCTAAGAACAAAATATATAGAGAATTGAGTGCTCAAATCAAACATATTCTAAACTGATTTAAGCATTAAATAGCATAATTTAAATTTAAATAACGTTTCCTCCTAGTTTTCTGATGCTAATAAAGCAAGGCAGCTAATCCTTTTCTTCATTAAATTTCCATATTGAGTACTTTTTGTATATATAATTTTTATTGTCGTGCTCTATCAGTCTATTTCCATCATTATTGTTTTTTTTTTAATTTCTTATTCCTTCTAATTTCTTGCACAATCACTTGCTTCCTTACGCCACCAGTTTAGGTGTTTTTATTTGTGTTCGTGAGGAAGTAGCAGTATTCCTTTTGCAAACACATGTTTTGAGCAGGTTTACAGACGAGGCCATGCTTGTCAACTGGTGATCGCTATGAAGCAGGACCCAGCCTCGAAATGGCCTGGCATTGTGCAGTCATGGGAATCCTTGACAGCCGGATATATGAAACTCTTGAAAGGAACATCAATCCTCTCCTAATCTCCTTGTTGGTCTTAATGAGTAGAAGATGAAAGCAAGCCCAGGTGGTGTTCTCCACGAGTAGACAGGGCTGCGCTTCAAAACTGTTAGATTCAGTAAAAGCCTTTGCACTCTATACGTTTCGAAATATAGTAGTATAAATTACAAGCCTATGCAGGGTGAAAATTTTGGGCAAAAGCTCTTATATCACTTGCATAAAACTTGCGAGAGAGAAAAAAGGTGGCTGATAGAAATGACCACTTTTTATTTAATTACACGACTCTCTTATAAAATGTCTGACACTAGCCCCTTTTTTATTCATTTTCATTCTCAAAGTATTTTTTTTTTTAATTTTAGCCTTTGTTCCTAATTTTCATGTGTAATTTATCAAAATAAGGAAGGAAAAAAATTCAACAACAGAGAACAAAAGTGTAGGACAATGAGAAAACTCGTGGCCAATCCAAAACTCAGGAGAAAAGTTCTTTTTCATTTTCGTACTTTTATTTTTATTTCTTCACACTATAGTTTTTGTATAATTTCAATTTTGATTTAAAAGTTAAGTTATTAACATTTCAGTCTTTATCTAGAGAGAAAAATCGTCTCAAAACAATAAAGAGAGAAAATATTTTGTTTAGGTACTTTTCATTAACAAAATTTATTATTATTTGTGTTAATTGGTTTCATTTAATAAAAAAATTAGATTTTTTTTTATAAATGTATCTAAAAAATATATTAAATTCTATTTTTGTATTCAATTAATTTTTATTTATCAGGTGATTTTAAAATATTTGAAGATTAGTAGATAATTTAAAAAACTTTTTTCAGTGTTTTTAGAAGAAATGAGTTGAAAAATAAATTTTCAACTCCAAAAACCTCACTCTTGAGATCTTGGCCAGAATAGTGGTGGTTGCATTCTTGGCTAATGCACAACGAGCAATACGTGATTTGTTTTTTGTTTTTGAATTTCTTCTAAAAATAGTAAGTGACGGACCCTCAAAAAAATAAGTAAATATGTCCCAAGCGCTTGGGCTTACTTTAGGCTCCAGGCCCCAACCATTATTTGTTTTTTTTTTAATTTTTTTTAATTTTTTATTAATTTTTATATTTATTATTATATAATTAAATAAAAAATATTATTGAATCAAGTAAAGTTCATGACTCAAGTTACGAGTTTGATGGGTTAATTAAACTGATCAAATATGTCTCATGTCAATTTTTTTTTTAAAAAATCATTTTTAGATTTTTTTTAAGTTAAATCATGATTTTATCAATCATCTAAGTTATCTTTTGCCCTACATGTCTGGACTTTTTTTGTCATTTGTTTTTCTTTAATTTTTTTTCTTTGACCCTACCAAGTTAATTGGGTTATATTATGACAACTCTCATACGATTTAATTTGAAATCTAAGCTAAACAAGAAGTCAAATTGAGAGTCTTTAAGTTTAATTTATTGGATTGTGTTTAATGATAATGTCAAAAAATTTCTCACAATCTAGATATTTTTTTTAGGTTCAAAAAACTTTTGGTCCAATCCACATAAGAAGTAACCTAATACAAAATATACTAAAAAGCCTAGGCATTTCAATATAATAATTTATAATATTTTTTTTTTTTAGTTATAGCCTTCTATGCCCAAATTAATGGCTAATTTGTGAAATTTTATTAAAAATAAAAAATTAATAAAAAAGAATCAAATTGTAAAATAAGGAGAAATCTCATTTTCAATCTCAAGTTCTCTAAAAATTTTTCTTTTTAGTCCACCTAATTCTCTTTTTTCTTACTCTTCAGTTTTTCTATTTTTTTTTTAATTTTAATTTTAGTCCAAAAATTTGTTTTCTTAATATTTCAATCCGAAAATCATCTAAAAATGACAAGAAAAGAAAAAATTATCGATTAGACTACTTTTTAGCAACAAAACTTGATATTTTTAATGTTAACAAGTTTTATTCAATTAAAAAAAAATTATAAAAATATTTTTATACTCTTAACTTGCCTAAAAACACTAGGTGTAGATTAAGAGAGAAAAAAAATTAGTTTGATCTTGTGTTTTTTTAATTAAAAAAAAATCTATAAAGATATTTTTATACTCTTAACTGGCCTAAAAACACTAGATGTAGATTAAGAGAAAAAAAAAATTAGTTTGATCTTGTGTTTTTTAAGTAGTTTTAAATAAATTATTTATAGAATTACCTAAAAAAATTTCAATCAAATCTACCATTATCATAATTAATTTTAAGATGCTAAAATCCAAACAAAAATAATTTTTAAAAATACCGTTTCTACCTTGTCTATCTGAACTTTTTATGCCGTCTTTTTGTTAAGAAAAAATAAAAAGGAAGAACACTGAATTAACGGATAAAACACTAGCTTCCCTCGTTATCCCCTTAGCCTCTCTTTCTCGGAATCCAAAAGAATGGCCACCATCACCACCACTACAGCTACTCTTTCCTTCCACTCCCACAACCCTGTCAAAACTCTACCATCATTCTCTCTCTCAAATATCCCTTTCTCCATTTCCAAGCCCAATTTCACTTCCTTCACCAATTTGTCTCTTTCAATTCCTGCCTCTAAATCAAACAATGCGAACAGCCCTCTCAACGGATACAGTCGCTTCTCTTGCAACTGCATCTCCACAGCCACCCCCAACACAAATTACGAGGTACGTACCCACCCTATTTAATTCATTAATACCCTTTTGTTTGGTTTCTTCGAACACTGAAGGAAATCTTGATCGTTTTTCTTGGCTAATTTGTTTCATTTCACAGAGTTATTCCTTTTGGTTTCTTTAATGGACAGATCGAACTTGAATTAATGGAAGACATGAAATTGATCTTTTTTTCTGTGTGATTAGGCGTATCGTTGTGTGAGAGAGTTCAGAGTGTGATAAGTTGTTAGAGTGAGTATTGATTACTTTGCTAGGAACCAAAGTTGGGAAATTTATATTACAAAGTTGGGAAATTTAATTTGTCTATAAGAAATTTGGTCATTGAGATGAGATTTTCTTGTTGGCAGTTTGGTTTGGGTGGAAATAAGACGGCGGTAGAACGAAACCAAATGTTCTGTCCTTCGGGTAGACTGGACTAGGATACTACTATTGATAAACCAAGTAGCTAAACTCTTCTTAGAAAACAAAGGGATTTTCTTGATTTCTATTTTTCTTTCTAACTTGTTAATTCTCTGCATGCTTTTTAATCATCGAGGTTGGCTAACACCATATTCCAAATGTGTAAATGCAATGCAGTTTTCTGATAGTTCTTCAGAAGTGGAATTGAGATTATCACTTGTGGGACTAGATATTCAAAGTTCCAGAGATATATTCGTGGATGCAGATGGCACCTCCTTAGTAGTCCAAGTACAGCACTCTGGGTCTCATATCACACTTATAGAAACTAATAAGATGTTCGAGAAAATAAAGCCTGCTGAAACAATATGGTTTGTGGCACAGAAATACATGGATTCGATTAGCTAGAAGAAGTCTTTTCAATAGTTGGTCTGATGCTTATTGTATTGAGCAGGTTCATAGATGATGATCAACTTGTTATCAACATGAAGAAGCAAGACCCAGATTTGAAATGGCCTGACATTGTGGAGTCATGGGAATCCTTGACAGCAGGATCTATGCAACTCCTGAAAGGGGCATCAATCTTCCTTGTTGGTGATTCAACTGAAATTAACCAAAAAGTGGCTCGAGAACTTGCTGCTGGTCTTGGGTATTAATCTATCTTTAGCTTCTAAAATTACAAATTGTGTTGTAATGGTTTGACTTATTGATTTCAACAATCATCGTACTCCTCTTGGGTATGAATCTTTTTTGTCCTTTTTTCCCCTCCTGTAGCTTATTTAGTTGGCTTGATAATTCTTTTTTTCTGATCCATTGCTAATGTCAATGTCCGTCATCTTTCATGATGTACCTAGACAGTGGTTAAATTACTTTGCATTCTTCACAGAGCATCACTTTAGCGACTGTCCTTGGTTTTGTAATGGCATGCTGTCTACTAGACTACCAGCTCTTTCTGTTCCTGTAAATCATCATATCAAGGACCTTCATTTTCTTTTGGTCTTCGTTACTTAATGAGATTACATTGGACCAAATTCCATTCCTAATCAATAATCAAGGAAAGCCAGCTTTCATACGTCTTGTAGAACTCTTTGACTTCCACACTTTCTCTCTGTTGTAAAGTTTATTGATTTAATATGTTTCAGGTACACGCCACTTGATACACAGGAGTTGCTAGAAACATTTGCTAAGCAAACAATTGATTCATGTGAGTATAGTTATTAATTTGGTTCTCTTGCTACTGGAACTGGTTGATAGCCTTCAGAGCTATCTCTCTATTTCTTGTGTCTAAAGATCAACACATACACATGTATACAGCGTAAAATAGCTCTCTACCTCCCTGTCGTAGGAGCTGATAGTGACTAAACATTTACAGTATCGCTGAATTACTTTGTGTAGATATTCAGATATTTAGCTTAACATAGACATTGAAAAGGATGGCATAATTGTCGACCACATTGTTGCAGTTGCTTCCATTGCGAATGAGATCTTTATAACTTACAAAAAAAACTCTTCTGACAGAGCTTAGAAGCCAGCCAGCAAAATAAATGTTTTGATCTGCATAGGCGCCTTTCTCACATCATTTACTTGATAGTTTGCTATCATTTGTTTCTGTGGTTTCCTTATGAATAATCTTTCTTATCTACACACTACACTTTGCAAAGCAAACATTTTTCAGCGCTGCAATGTAATTCGAACTGTTGAGTTAATGTGATCAAATGACTTTCTAGATTCCAGTATCCTTGCTTGAAATGACTTATATTACCCATCTTGCAGTGCATTAACGAATGTAATCAATTCCAGGGGTGCTTGCTGAAGGCTCTGACTCTGTAGCTGAAGCAGAATGTGCTATATTAGAAAGCTTGAGTAGGTACGGTATCTGGAGTAATTAATTTCTTAACTTCTTTTTCTTTTTTTTCTAGGATAGTTAAAACCCTATTCTTGGTTTGGTTGGTCTTGCAGTCATGTACGTGCTGTTGTTTCAACATTAGGAGGGAAGCAGGGAGCTGCTGGAAAGGCTTCTAAATGGCAGCATCTTTATGCAGGGTTCACTGTCTGGTTGTCACAGACCGAAGCCTTAGGTATCGTTTTATTGATATTCTGCTCGTTGCTAGAGTCACACTACATAGCACATCACATTCTTACAAAATTCTAAACCTCTAGTCAGTTTTTATGACTAGAGTAACCTCAAGCAATATGTCTTGGTGTGTAAATATAACTAAGTCATACATCTTGGTCAAATCAAAATCTTACTGTATTGCATAAATCTTTGAGACACCAGTATTTTACTACTACTATTAGTTTTAGAATTGCTACAATGACAAGGATGAGAGGTAGGGAATTACAACTCCATAGTCACCAGTTTTGCCTGCGTCTTCCTAATTAAATTTGAGTAACTTGCAAAGTGTGCTCACATTCAACGCAGATGAGGATTCAGCTAAAGAGGAGGCTAGAAAGAATGTTAAAGATCGCAGTGTAGCATACTCAAATGCTGATGTTGTTGTCAAGCTCCAGGGTTGGGATTCTGATCATGCCAAAAGTGTTGCTCAGGCATCCTTGAGTGCTCTCAAGCAGTTGATTCTGTCTGACAAGGAACTTCCAGGTGCTCGTCAACTTCTTTTTGTATCTCCAGCTTGTTTCTTTCATTTCTAATCAGAAAATGAATGAGCTTATGGTTTCTAAAAATTGTTTGAAAAAAAAGAGAGAGAGACCTGAAATAGGATGAAGAAGTTATGTAAAGTTTGAACTTTATATGACCTGACAATATTTATGGAAAGTAAAACGGAAAGCCTGCATTAACAATTCACCAGAAGACTTGAACAGTCATTTTATTTGATAGTTATAAATTTACAGATTTTTGCATCATCCATGTAATTCTAGTTGATGTTTGAGCGCATTGGAGTCTAAATTAAAGATTGGACATGATGTTTATCTATCAATGATAGCAAAAAAGAAATGCTTTACCTTGGCCACCAAAGCCTGCTTGATAAGAAATCATGAGAGCTTGTTTAGTGGGATTTAGAAGAGCATCTTAGCCGGGGCTAACATGAGATGACCTGAAAAGGTGGAGGCAGGAATGCCGAATTATCACGTTGTCATCCATTGATGTGTGGCCTAGATTAATGCTTTAGATTTATCATTCATCGCATTTCATTTATTTAAACAAATTTAAGTGAAGTTTAGCTATTCTCTCATTGATAATTTTTGATGCTATGTGTTTGGAAGGTAAGAAGAGCCTTTATATAAGGTTAGGATGTCGTGGGGATTGGCCAAACATCAAGCCTCCCGGTTGGGATCCATCAAATGAAGCTGAATCGATCTCCTAGCATGTGGCAGATCCGATGTTGTAGAGGGAGAGGATTGTTGAATGCCAATCTTTTTGGCACCATTTCATGGCTGGTAATTACCATGTTGTCTTTACACAATTCTTTCAAGGAATTTATTCAGTAGCCGTTGTTGCAGCAAGCAACTACCTGTTCATTGTGTCATCACAAGTAGAGAAATTGGTGAACAGAGTGCAAGGAAGTAAAACTAGTAAAGTATTTTAGATTTTATCCCTTTACAAAACCTAGCTGGGAGCCTGACACCCGTATTCGTTCTGTGCATGTACACAATTTTTCCTTTCATTCATTCAAAACCCTCTTCATAATGCAAGAAAAAAAACTTTCTATATATATATATTTGTTTCCAAGCCGCCTGGGCCATGCCCACGCGGCTGGAAATTTTCAAGCTGGAGGCCAATCCCAGCACGCTTTCCTATGCCGTGCAAATTTTTATATAATTTTTCTACGCATGTACACTGCTTCTTTTTTTATGATTTTTCTATGCAAAGCAAATATCTTTTTCTACGACAGTGGCAGATCATGACTAATAAGTTTTATTAATAGCATGTGTGATACAATAATGATGGCATATTACATCAACCAAACTTTATCATGGTGAGCCAACCATTTTTTTCAGCAGTAACACATTTTTTTCCAACCACGGCTTGAATATATGAATTCAGTCGGTCACCCATGCAAAAAAAAACAATTTGAACTATCCATAATATCGTCATTAACACGATAGCAATTTTGAGCAAGAAAAATCAGCCAAAGATCATAAAAGTCAGTCAAAGCTCATGAAAGTCAGGTAAAACCATTGAAAGTCAGGGCAAGATCTGCACTATACAGCCCTCAATTTATTTGTTCTCTTCCTATATATTTTTTTCTTTGTATAAGTCATTAACCCAGCCACGAAAACTCTAATTCATGTGCGAAGTTTTTAAAGTGAAAAATAGAACAAAAAGTTAATTCATTCCCTCTCATTTTTCATAGGAATATTGTTCATGATTGACAAAACTTCAGGACACAGAGACTCCAATTCTTCCCGGTCCCCAACAAGTACAAGTTTCTAATAATGTTATTCTAGTTGCATAATAAGATCTTCGCATTATATGATTCTATCAACATAAAAGTCAACATACAACTCCCCAAAACAACTTCATTTCCATTAATAAACAAAACAAAATAACATATCATGTAAACACAATTCTCAAACTCTATAAAGGAGTCAATACTCATCATCATACTTTAGTCATGAAGATAACTATCTCTATCAATCTTTTTTTAAGTCTCAATCTCGTTTATGGACCCCTTATTATAAAAAAAACATAAATATTATACACGATATTTGATTAGCTCCTAAACATCATTTCTACAATGTAGAAGAATCTCTATTTTAACAAAAAGAATTACACACTCATCTTTACTTTAACATAAAGTGTTACATACTCATATTTTCAAAGATTATGATGTGAAGACTAACCTGAACAACTATAGTAGTCTTACAAAACCTATGGAGCATATATAAAATGTCAAAAGTGGCATTGAGTTGGTGATATCAAAAAGTGATGTTGTGTGCAAGATTTTTCCTCCAACTTTTTATGGTTATGCGAGGGTCTAGTATTATAACCTTAATCATAACTATATCATAGGTCTTCATGGTCTCTGATTTCTGTATGAAGCTCATCTCTCATTTCAACACTATTATTCCAAATAAAAAAACACAACTAAGCTCTTTTTTTCCTATCACACAACTAGAAAGTAAGGCATATCTCAAAAGATTCAACAAGAAAATGCTAAGTTTTGAGAATTTGCTCGAACTCATCAATATTCAAGCCTTGATCAATAAAATCTATAACTATTTGTTATGAGAACTTATACATTTTTCATAACAAAACACTTATCAACGTAAAACAAGTGATGAAGAACCATATTTGAGTAGAAAAAGTCAGTGTGACTAAACATGATCACCATCGATTCCAAATGGTAGAATCTCCACAACATCACTAATCTCCTACCCCAGCATAAAAAATTAACATCAAATGGCACATTTATGATCTTTTGATATTTCTTGGACTTTAACCACACATACCTCTCATTATCACACAAGTTGAGGTATTGGATGCTATAAAAGGAAAAGACTTGTAATAACTACCTCCAATGAAAAATGATTTAAACATAAAGAACCCCAATAAGTTTTATCTTTTTTACTAATATTATAGGCACGACATATAAAAGCTTCATGAACTCAAAAAAAGATTAAAAAAAAAATTGATCTCTATAGGATACCTCAACACTTTATAAAGGTTATAACCTAAAAAAAAACAAAAAACAAAAAACAATAGAAAATCCTTATATAATGTGCTGCCTAAGATAAGATAATTTTTCAGTGCTTCTCTATGCCTCCATGAAAATCTCCATGTCAAAGTCTTAATTTAAATTCTTCAGGTCTCTATGATCGTTCCTCTCCAAAAAGAACCAGTGATCCTTCTTAATTTTTATGATCAATCATGAACATTTTCCTCTAAAAATGCATTCCTAAATGCACATATAGACCATTTTATTTTTACACATGTTTCTTATTTCTATACTATTTATCTGCACAAGCAGCAAAAATAATTTCTTTTTTTTCTTGCAAAAACATTGGTAAAGATTTACAAGAAAAAATTAATAAAAGCCACAAGTATTGTCTAAAAGCATTCATCTCTCATGATGACCTAGTTAGGGTAATATTCTTATACGGTCCTAGAAAAATAAAGGTAATATCCATATAGTTTAAGTATTTTCTTTTTTTATTGGTTAAAATCTTTTAAACATACTTATTTAAAAAACTTGAGGGGCAAGTAATGATGCCAGGAAAAAAAATTTCTAAAAAAGAATTTTTCTTTTCAATTGCCTAAGCCACGCCCAAACGGCTAGAATTTTTTTAGCCAAAATCTAACCCCAACTCAATGTTGCCCTAGATTGACCAATCTACAAAACATATTTCACTATGTACTTTTTCAAGTTCCTTATAATTACTATATAAACTTTTTATATATTTTTTCTACGCATATATATGACTTTTTTTATGTTTTTCTTTGTAAAGTATTGTTTTCTACACCCTCACAATATTTTTTTACAATATTTTTTTACTAATGGCATGCATGACACATCATTAAAAAGCTATTATGACCAACTAAACCAAATTTCTCACCAATGATACAATCTCTTTTTTGAGAAGAAATCCCAAGCCTGAAAGTATAAATATACTCAGTCACCCATGTAATAGGAAATTCAAGTCATCTATAATATTGTTATAAACACAAAAATAATTCATAGCAAGAAGAGCTGATTAGATGTCATAAAAGCTTGCCAAAGACTAAGAGAGCCATCTAAAACCATTAAAAGTCATGTTAGATACACATTTTCCAACCCTCATTTTATTTTTACACACTTATTACTCAAGTATTGAAAAGTTTCATTTTTTTAAAGAACTTGTTTTTTAGAACCAGCTAACCTATCAACCCAGCTATGAAAATTAATCTTTTCAAGACTTGAACACCTTCAATTCTTAGAACCACATAAACTCTCTCAGACAACCAAATTTTCAAATCTATGATCTCTCTACATCTATAATATAGATGTCGCAATGATTGAAAGTAATAGTTACAATAACCCAATAAGTTACACCATAAAGGCCTACATAGATACCCACTATGACAACCTTTTTAACCATAATCTCTCAAGAAACCTATGCACTAAGAATCCTGAATAGCTCCATTGCAAGTATTGGATGATGAATAGAGAATGCCCATATGTTATTCACTACTAGTTTTGGCATTCTTGGTACCATACAGTAGTACCATTGGTAGTGATGGGTGTTTTTCCATGCTGTCAGGGCTTAACAGTCACAAGAAGGCTATTTGTGGTATCTTTTCCCTAGAGGGTTTGACAAACTTTTCACTAAGAGTAGAGATGGCACTGTCAGAATCTGAAACTACCACTCTAGCAAGTGTAATCGGGTCATCAATCTTGGTGTAGAAACTTGGTGTCTTATTTGGGTTGCCATTGTCAAAGTTTGGAACTTAAATGGGAAAAATATTTACGAGTTCTCTTTAAAGAGGCATGTTGGACAAGTTTATGCTTTGGTTGTTTATAAGGACTTGCTCTTTGCTAGGGCAGCTAATGATGATATATCGGTGTGGAAAGGGAGCTTTGAGGTCAATCCATTCAAATTAGTGGCAACGATCAAAGCCCAGAAACAAGCAGTAAAGAGGCCTCGTGAACAACAGAATTCTTGCATGATCAGCTGAGCTCTGAAAGTTTTAGTCATGTTATAGTTGGTCAATTTGATAAAAAAAAATAATAATTAAAAGCTAATGTGTTTTAGGTTTTGCTTTCATACTTTTTACTCTGGTTGTGAGATATATGTTTTATTATTGATATAATAATAATGCAAAGATTTTGCTAAATTAAACCACAGACATGTATGCCTTTTCTTTTTCTTTTTTGTACTTTGGTCAACTGTCTATATTATATATCCTTATTGGTGCGTATATTGAATCAAGAATTCTCTTTCAATAGCTTTACTTGAAAATAATTTCTGTGGATTCTTTCCATAAGTCTCGCATATCCTGTAAATGATAATATCAGTTTAACAAATCTCTTTGCAGAAGATTGAATAATTGATCTCACTATATGAGCAATACAAGTGCTTGTTTTTCATGGATTCCTTATCTAATTCTTAATGCCCTTTTCTATTGGTTTCTTTTTGTAATTATAATTATTTCGATTTGTTAAATGAAAATTCTAATAAATGTTCAATATAACTACCTCTCTTTTATGTAATTTTCCATCTCACATCATGAATCTTGAGCTCATTCATGTTTTTCTATTATGACTTGTGATTCATGTTTATTTGATACTTCTTGATTATCACATTTTGATTTCAGAATTAATTGTTGGCTGTCTTTTTTATTCCAAGCTTGTTGCCATTGTTTATGCATGAAAGTTTAGCAAACAAATTACCTAAAATACTAAAATAATTAAGGTTTTTATGATTAAATTAATAAAACATCCAGGGTTTGTTATGGCACATCATAATGCTTATAAATAATAAAGGTCATGGCTTTTTTTCTTCATTTTCAAACTTTTTTTTAATTAAATCATTCTAAAGCCTAATTAGATGAATTAAGTTTGAGATTATGATCAAATTAAAATAAAAATGACTGAAATGTAAAACAAGACAAAAATACATAGTCAATCATAAATTCACCATAATTTTTATTTTGATTTCAAAA